CGCAGCATCCCTTAATGACAGCCTTCCGGGAGAACAGGCACAGGGAATGAGTAATTTGGCATCCCCCAGGCTTGAAGCCTTTCTCAAGGGATCCCTTGAGCCACTCTAAAGCCTGGATTTTGGATAAATCATGTGCAGGCTGGGAAAGGGGAATGGTTTGGCTTAGAGGGTGGTTGCTGTGCGACGTCTGCAAGAGCAGAGCCCGTGGAGCGCTGTGGGGTTCACACCGAGTTTTGCTCTCGTCACCAGGCGTTAATTAGTGTTGGATCAGTCGTGGATGTTAGGGGCAGGATGAGCAATGGGCCGTCTCGCTCCTTTTAAGCCTCAAGTCCGTTTTGTTTGTAGGATTTTGATGCAGCCAGGTGGGGTGGGTGTATAGGCGACAGCGAGCCTGTGGAGTTGGTGTGTGCCCTACAGCCATGCCCTTGGGCAGAACAGGGGTGAGACTGGGCGTCTCGGGATTTCTGGGTGGCTGGAGCTGGGCTGAGCAGGGACAGCGGGTTCATAAGGTGCCGGTGTAGGGGTTTGGTGTTCAGAGTTGCTGATACCTTTTGAGAAGAGTGTGAAGCTTACTGCCCATTCCCCGAAGCACTGATGTTCTGACGGTGCTGTTGGACACCAGGAAGTCCAGGGTCCTCTTCGGGGGGCTGGTGTGGTGTGGGTGAAGGGGGATGCTGTCGGTGGGGTGGTCAGCCTGCGGTGTGGCAAGGAGAAGCCTGTTGGTCGTTTCTTCACAGGGTATGTTTGATTACCTTGTCTTCAGATTGCTTCCTGTTGCTGAAGTCGTCTTGGCTGGAGTAGGATGTTCTCAAGAATGCTTAAATATAAATACACTGAACTCTTTTTCTCAGGAGATTGTACTCTGAAATCTCTGTGTGGGATCATATCTAAGTTTTGCTGTGATTTGCTCATTTCCGTAGCGTTAAACGCCTTCTCTGCACTAGACTTGTGAAGAGCCTGCCTTTTATGGGCTGTCTGGCATCAAACCTTCATCCTCTACCGAAAAACCCCTCCCAAATCCAGTATTTACAAGCGTGGCACCTCAGAGCAGGAGGTGAGCAGCTCTGCTTGGGTGCTCCTACGGGCGCAGAGCATCCTCCTCCAGCGTGCGGGGAGCTCCCGAGGCACCTGCAAAGAATTGCCTTGTGGAATGGTGATGGGAGAAAATGGAATTTAAATGCAAACCTGCTTGTGGTTTGGCTGCGGGCAGTGCTTTCTCCAAATCGCGGGTTGAAGAGCAGCAGAGTGGGAACCTCGCTCTGTGTCGGCTCTGCTCCGGGCTGGGTTGGAAACAAAAACCCTTCTGAGCAAACATCTCTGTGCCACAAAGGGGCTTTTTAAAAAACAATACGGCCTCTCGGTTATGTTGCTTGCTTCCAAATCTCTCTGCTTTCCATCGAGGGCTTAGGGGAAACCATTCCTTAACATAAACCTTCAAGGGGAGGGTTTTTCGAGGGCAGACCCCCAGCCGCGAGCCCCCGCAGCGGCCGAGCGCGCTTGGATCTCGCAGCGAGATGTTTGCCTGCACCCAGTGAGTTACTGGTGTTGGCTGCCGCTGTGGAATGGTTACTGGGAAGGGCTGGGAAGGGCTCGTCCATGCCCACCTCTGTATCCTGAGGGGATCTGCCTGAGCTGCGAGGTGTTTCTCGGGGGATGGAGGAAAGACAGGGAGATGTTTGCCCGTCGCCAGCAGGACCCACCTTCCCGTGCCAGGAAAGGTCCACGACTGCGGCTTTGAAATCCAAGCAAGTAAACATTTCTTGTGCCAGAAATGTTGGTATTTAAAGGGAGAAGACTGCTTCCAGAGGAAATGCTTGTTTGTGGAGCGTCCCTCTTGTTTACCGTGGCTGATAAGAGCTGCTCTTCAGCTGTGCCCTCCCTGCAGCCCTCATTTCAAGAGCCATTCGGTTCTTCTGATTTTTAAGAGCGACGCGCTTCCAGCGTGTGTTTAGATAATGATTCTCGCAGACGTGGTTATTCAAAACAAACACAGCAGGAAGCAACTACAAAGCAGACTGCTTCGGCAGCTGCTGTGAGCGGGAGCTCGCTGTCTTCCTGCGTGCGTGGTGGGACAGGCCTGCAGCGTGTCCGTCCTGCTCCGCGCGTGCCGGGGCGGTGGCAAGTCTGTCCCGCGTCGTGGCCTGGGGGTGCCGTGCGTTTGGCGGAATGTGGTTTGTCACCCACTGCACCGCCTTGTAGCGTCTCCAGGAGTTTTCGGAGAGCTGCTGATGGCCTGAATCGGCTGCGTGGTGGCTGGGGTGGCTGCAGACCGTGTGTTGCCGACGGGGCCAGCAGCGTCCGTGCGCGCTTGCCGGGGATCACAGGAGGGACAGGAGCAGCGGGAAGAACTGCAGGAGCAAGTCACCGGGACTGCAGCTCCAAACCGATCGTGGACCGTGGGGCACAGCCCCTTACCTCGCCTGAGCCGAGCCACAGGTGCTTCTGGTTTAGGGGAGGAGGAAGTTCAGTGTTGGTTTTGCTTTCCCTTCCAGTATCTGAAGGGGCTACAAGGGTGCTGGGAGAGGACTTTTTACAAGGGCCTGTAGTGATAGGACAAGGGGTAATGGGTACAAATTGAAAACAGGGAGGTTTAGATTAGATATCAGGAAGAAATTCTTCACAGAGAGGGTGGGGAGGCACTGGGACAGGTTGCCCAGAGAAGCTGTGGATGCCCCATCCCTGGGAGTGTCCAAAGCCAGGCTGGATGAGGCTTGGAGCAACCTGGTCTAGTGGAAGGTGTCCCTGCCCATGGCAGGAGGGTTGGAACTAGATGATCTTTAAGGTCCCTTCCAACCCCAACCATTCTGTGATTCTATGATTCCTCCCTCCTCGAGGGCGGTGATGGAGCTGGGGGCTTGCAGCGTGAATCCGCCTTTCGCTGCGCTGGGATCTCACAGCTTTCTCGCAGAGCCTGTTCGGTGATAATCTTACAGAAACAAACTCCTGCAGGACTTCTGGGGAAGCGAGGTGACGTAATGCCCAACTCAACAGGGTTCTGGAGCATTACCCTTGCGTGCTCTCGCTGCCGCGGTGGGGCTGTGCCGAGCTGCCCTGTCTGCCGTGCCCAGCACCGGAGGAGGAGAGCCGATGTGGTGTGGTTTTGTCTCTGCCGAGCTCGGAGCTGTGCCACCTCTGGGTTTCAGCATCACCTTTGCCTGCTGCATCAGGTGCCTTCGGGTGCCCGTGCTGGCCGTCTGCTCGGACGCCTGTTTTCTCGGAGCAGGTGGAAAGCTGGTCTGTAGCCTTCACCTCTCCGTTGGGTTGGGAGAAAGCCAGAGCAGCTCACCGAGGGGAGATGGTGTGTAAGGCATGAGGCTTTCAACCTGGGTTCTGCAAGAGATCAGGCTGAAATGGGCCCTGCAGCTCTTTTTGGGGGGGCAGCTCAAACCGAAGAGGTTTCAACGAGTTCAAAGAATCTGTCCTGAATCTGACACAGCTCCGAATCACTCCGAGGGGAGCACAGATCCTGGGCGTCACCATCCCTGCTTTTACAAAAGACCTGCCTGAAAAAAAAAGCCACCAGAAACTAAAACTGAAAATAAAACAAACCTTGCAAACCCAGGAAATTTGCATTGCAGGGGAAACAAGTCCAGTGAAGGTCTAACGCTGCCTTGCTTTACCCACAGCTTTAGGAATCATGTTAAGCTTTTGCAATGGATGCAGGGAAGAGTACTTGGGGAAGGTAGGAGGGCTTTTCTCTTTCAGACACTGGCTATTTTGGCAGTCAGGATGAGGTGAATTCAGAGTACTGAATGCAGTAAGAGGTAGGAGGGTGACATCTTGAAATGTTTCTTAATTTTGAGTAGGTATTTTCAACAAACGTTTGTGTGCCGAGGCTTGGGCTGGTGGGATTGAAAGGCATATTGGATTATATGCTATTTGCTCTGTGTAAGCAGCGGCAATTTATTGCTGCAGATACATGTGATGCAACGCGCAAAGATTAGTTCTATCCCCTCTAAAGCATGATTATTTTGGGTGCTCTTTAGACCTTAAATAGATACTCTTCTCATGTGATTTCAGTCTTTTTGTGTCAACAGCCCAGGCTAAAGTTGAAGTAAACATTGCGTCAGCTGCGTAGCACAGGCTCTGAAGAAATCCGCTCTCCGTTACGGGTGTTGTTTGGAAGGCTTTTCATTTTTACATTTTTCCAGTGTGCCATGCAACCATCTCGTGGCTCCTGAAGCCTGCTCTGTTGCACTGGACCTGCCTTGTGCCCATCAGGGTAGTTGATCCACACTGCCGAGTCCCATCTCGAGCAGAGCATCAGTGTGGTTCCCCCCTTTTCGGTTCATGGTGAGGGTCTGTGGCCTCTCTCAGGGGCATTTAAAAGTGAGCCGCTGTTAAAATTTGTTGTGGCCATACAATTTTTGGCTCTCAAGTAGCGTATTTCTCCTTCCAGTTGCAGAGAAGGATGCTGTACCACGGCAAGCCATCACAGACCGTCTGGGGTTTTGGCATGGCGTGGTAGGAGGAAGGTTGCCTGGTCACATGCGTGTTCTCCTACGGTTGGACTTGATGAACTTAAAGTTCTTTTCCAACCTAAATGATTCTATGATTCCCATCTGCTCTGCTCCCACAGCCAGTGCTGCCCGAGGGGAACAGGGACTTGGAGGAAGAGAAGACCTCCAGCCATCCCTTCCCCTTTCCCTAGTCTTGTTTCCATTTTTTAATCATTTGCTCTCGTCAGGCTGCAGACCTGGTGCCAGCGTATTTAGCAGTCTGGGGTCAGTGACATCCAGATGGTGGAAGATGCGTGGGCACATGTCGACAGAGGTGTTTCTGTCAAAGCAAACCTTAGCAGAATGAATGATTTCTTTGCTCTTAATGACCGTGGAGGCTGGACTTGGCAGGTCAGGGTGTAGGCTGGAGTTGGCAGGACGTGGTGGTATGACTGGGAACGTCGTGTGTCTGTGCTTGTGGCTTGATTTGAATAGCTTAATGCAGACTTAATTATGGGAAAGCTCTTGATTGAGACCTTTCGTGCCTCTTGCAGCATCATCATGACAACAGAGAAGAGTTTCGCGGCCGATGCCGACAATTCGGAGCAGCAGCAAGCCAAGGAGGAGGACGGAGCTGCTGAAACAAAAAAGCAGGAGGCTTCCCTAGAAGAGAGGGCCCAGCAGACAGAGGGCCAGCCTGCAGCGGGGCAGAAGCAGGCGGCCTCCAACGGCGATACGCCCGCGCACGAGGAGCAGAGCAAGAAGGAGCGCCGCACCTCCGAGGGCCGGGGTCTCTCCCGCCTCTTCTCATCCTTTCTCAGGAGGCCCAAGTCTCAGGTGTCTGAAGAGGACAAGGACACTGATGCACCTAAGGAGGCAGAAGGTGACCCGAAAGACCCGGGGTTAGGAGCCAGCCCTGATGAAGACATCCTGGTGAAAGCCCCGATTGCAGCCCCTGAGCCTGAGCTCAAAACTGATCCGTCATTAGATCTCCATTCCTTGAGCAGCGCAGAAACACAGGTAAAGCTACCGCTTGGCATGCTGCCTTCCATTCTTGAAAATGTGTCCTTTTAGCCAAAACTATAGAAACCTCATATCCTAGGGAGGGTAAGCTTAATCAGAAAAACTCCTGAGATGCTGAAAAGGATCTTGTCAGCTCCCTGTGTTGCATCGTGTGTTTCCCACTCTTGCATTCCTGTATCACTGTCCTGCAAGGTACCTGCTCCTGAAACTGTGCTCACACTTGACAGCATAACTTAAAATGGCCCGTGCTGTCTCCTTACTCTGCTGAGTAGTGGGAGTCACATCAGAACTAGAGTCAAATTCATAATTCACAACAGAGCGGTTGCTTGTCGGGATGTCCTTGGTGTGTACGGAACAAAGGCAGGTCAGTGGCATGAGGTGGGGATTGCAAGAAGACGTGGATTTGGGAAAGGGTTTCTTCAAGGAGCGCAAGCGTGGCACTTCAGGATGTGGTCATCTGTTCTGTCTGGCTGGTGCTGAGCCTGCCAAACACAAAATTTCTGCTTATGCATCATGTAGACAGGGATTTCTGCACAGCACGTGGGCTGAGCCTGGCTCCTCGTAGCCATCTGATGTCTGCTCTTTACAGCCAGGGTCATTTTTCATGCAAAATGCAGTTTTTAGAGCATAGTAGAAGCAGAGGCAGACATCTCCATGGGGAGACATTCACAAAGCTGCGCTGGTTGTCGATGTGGGGGTCTTACCTGCCCTCTCTTACCCCATGGCATGTGTCTTAGGTAGTTGCAGCTCTGCCTCTGCTTGTGCAGCTTCCCAGGGTTAGAGAAAGGTGAGTGCCCCTTCTCCTGAAATATGGATTTCTTAAAACCCAACCAGCCTGCCTGTACTGCTGGAGTCAGAGCACCTCGGTGGTGAAGTCGGGATTAGTTACCCCGCTGCCTTCATGTTCTGAGTGGGCTCCAGAGAGGTGTCCATGTCTGCAGGCTCTGGGTTTCAGCTGACTTTGAGCAATACTGTACAAGTCAGAGCATGGCCAGCTCTAGGCAGCACCCCTTAAAATTACAAAGGTCTAGAGAAGGTAGTAAGCAGCACCTTTTTCTTTCTTTTCCCAAATTTCTGAGCCTGTGACAGCCATGGGACGATCTCTGTTCGTGTTTTCTACCTCTGAGGGTTGGCATTAGCAGAAATGGGGGGGAAGCTGGAAATTCTTAGGTGATTTCAGCCCAGAAATTGTGTCTTCAAGAGGAAATGTGTAATTTATTTCTCTATTTAACATCAATTTGCTGCTTCTGAGCACAAGTGAGGGTGCACCCACAGCCTTCCTTCCCCATGGGCTGTTCATTTCAGACGAAGTATTTGTGCCTTTTTTTTTAGCTCTTCTTTTAGATCAACGTCAGTGGCTTTTTTGGACTGTGACACTCGGCAGATATTTCTGCCGTGAAAGCATTTGCGATGTGCTGCCTGTTTGATAAATGCTGACCGACGGGCATTATGAGCTTTGACTGATTCCCTGCTCCCGATTGTCCCAGCCCTGCTGGAACAGAAGTCAGCAGCTTGTGGACATTATGTAGTTTTTAAATACCTCCGTGCAGTTGTGCCTGGGTGGGATTTCGTGAGATGCGCTGGGCTGAAAAGACGGGGTTTTGCTCTTCCTCTGCCGCGGCTGCGTGCTTCTGCTGCATCGAGCCACTTCCAGCGCTTGTCGGAGCCCGCCGTGAACTCGTTTAACCTGCTGAAATGGCAGTGGGAAGAAAACCCGCCTTCCTTCCTCCTCCTGTCCCCAAACTGCATCCCTTTCTGCTATTTTAGTGACTTCATTATAGAATCACAGACTGGTTTGGGTGGGAAGGGACCCCAAAGCCCACCCAGTCCCACCCCCTGCCATGGGCAGGGACACCTTCCACTAGACCAGGTTGCTCCAAGCCTCATCCAGCCTGGCCCTGGACACTTCCCAGGATGGGGCATCCTCAGTAGGCTAAGGGAGGGTTGTTTGAAGGCTGCCTTCCCTTTCTGGTGGCTGAGAGCTGCTCAGTCAGCTCAGATGGCCGTGAAATCTCAGCACTGACCCCCCCTTTCAATACCACTGCTGCCATGCTGAGGGCTGGTGCGCTGGGCACAGCTCAGGGTGACACTGGGAGCGTGGGGACACATGCGGTGGGCGTCTGGCCTCGGAGGGCAAAAACTATCTAGTCCTAAAGGTGCTGTCATTAAGACCATGAAGATTTGCATGATATAATCTGCCCTGGTTTCTCTAATCAACCCTTTTTCTTTTTTCATTACATCCTTTATTAAAGGAAGACTTGAGAATGATTTGAAGGGCTTTAAAAATTCACATCACATTACCTTCCTCACCCAAGCTGCTGCTCCGGGTCCCAGGTTATACATTTAGCTCAGAAAATGAAGTTTGGAGTAAGATCCCAGCCCTGAGGTGCACCTGTGTGGTGCTTGTTTCACGTGAGTTTTTGGTTTTGCTTGACACGTCTAAATTGCATCTTGGGTGATGGGGGGGTGTCCTCAGCCTGCACAGGAGGAGAGGAGGGACGACCAGGAGCTGGACGGCAGAGACCTCGAGGGCAAGGAAGGAGAGGAAGCAAAGGAAGAGTGTGCCAAGCCAGAGCCGAAACAAGACACTCCGGAGACCAAAGCAGAGAAGGATTTGAAAGCTGCCCAGAAAGCAGTAAAACGACACAGAAACATGTACTGCAAAGTTGACCTGCTGGATTACACCGTCTTTGAGTGTGCCATGGATGTAAGTCCTTTCGGGGTTTGTTTGTGCTTCTCTTTTCCCTGTCCCTTCTCCTCCCCTTTGAAAAATCACCACAAACCCTCTTTAATAAGGGTCTCATTTGCTGCCAGTGAATTACACGACAGGCTTTACTGCAGAACAATCTTGCTGTAGGCTGTAACTACTTTAGTGTGTTATAAAGATCTCTGGGTGCCTAGGAATCTTTTTTATTGGTCTACAATTTCCAGGGTGCCTTGCTTTATAAAGGGGGGGTAAGCTTAAAAAAAAGTGATTTCACTTGCTGTTGATCTTCTCATTGTCTTTCAGGCCAGAGTTTAGGATTTTGTGTTAGGTTGGGTTTGTCTAAATACCTTCTGCCCCTTTGAGTTAAATGAGTTGTCAGTTTGTGCTTTTCTGTTCACCCAAGGTACATTTGCCTATCGGGTTGCTGGGTGACATAACTCTTGGAGCTTGGAGGTAAAGAAAAACGTGCCGTGTTTGGCCTGCAGTTGAACATATTTGCAGTAAACAATTGAAAATGATTACGTTGACTTACAGCACTGCAAACCCCTTCATCCGAGAGCTTTTCTTCTGCTTTATTTTGTGCATTCTCTCACAGGACCGTCTTGCTGTCAGGGCAATAAAAAGCTCCCAGAAATCCCCATTTTGGTATTGAAGCACTTGTCTGGAATATTAATAATCGGGTACTTCCCGAGCTTGCTTCCCTCCGCTTGTTTTTCCCAGTCCCGCTGGCTAAGTGGGCCAGGAGAGGGTATCTGGGCACAGGCTCCTTGTGAAAGCCGTAACCTTGGCTGATCCTGGGCAAGTAGGTCAGCGCCGGCCGTTTGTGTAACGGCGTCACTGCTGTTGCTGCCCGGGATCAGCCCGGAGCATCAGCGCCCCCGTCGCCTTCCCCTTTGCCAGGGGCTTTGTGTGCAGCCCCCAGAAGGAAACTGTTCCCTGAAACGCTGGTGGCAGCGTCTCCGCTGGCTTGCCGTGGCTTTGAGCATGAGTTTGGTGCAGCCACGTGTCTGCAGGCTGCACGGGCGACGTTGGTGGGAGAGCTGGGGGTGTGTAACGCCCTGATTTGAGCTGGGTGCTAGGAGCCTCCTTCTGTAGGTGCAGAGCGGTGATGGGCACTGCGGGGAGGATTAGGAGGGGCTGCTATGCCGGTGAGACCCTCTTGACTTAAGTACCTTTGGCTTTAATGCCGGTATAATCCTACTTTAGCATTTTGAGAATTTATTAAGCCTTAATTGGGAAGGAATTGCAAAGGTGTAAGCAAAGACCAGCACAAATGCCTTTATCCAGGAAGAATAAGTGGGTTCTGGAATCCTTTCCAGTTGACAGGCATGGAAGGTTTTTAACCCCTACATGGCTTTAAGTCCCATTTCTTTGCGAAATACCCAGGCTGACACTCTGTTGTCTATAGAGTCGCAGGGTACGCACGAAGGACCTTTCAGCTGAAGGACTGGGATGAAACAAGGCTCTGGTCTTGGATCAGTTGCCATGCAAATACGACTGAGGGGAGGGACGCGGGCACAAGCGATGCATTAGTAAAGCTTATTTTGCGTCACTGGAACCGCACTTTCTTTTCAGCAGAGCCTCCAATAGAATTAGCTGCTGCTGGTTACCATAGTTTTGTGCCTCAGGGATGTTTTCCTTCATGCATTTGGACTAAAAGGGTATCTGTTCCTGGGGCTGGTTCACTTCTGCAGGATTTTGAAAAAGAAGGAAAAAAAAAAAACCAACCCCAACCCAGGAGATCGGAATGCTCAGAGTGGATTTCTGGAGGCGAGTTGTTGTGTGCTAAGCAGCTTTTGATGCATAAGGCAGAACCGGAGAGCCTGGGTTTCATCAGCAGATGGGGTTGATGAAAATGCTGTGGAAATGATGGTATTTGGTCCTGAGCTGCTGTTTCTTTTGTGAACCTACTAAGTCAGGTTGCCCCCCAAATGGGAGACCACAGCTGGGCAGTGGTCTCCCAGTGGCAGTGGTTTCATACCCGGCGTTGATCACCTTTTGATCAGCTCCTGATTGCCTGGCAGCCTGGAGCTGGGACATACCAGTGCCCTGGATGTCCTTTTGGGAAGGAAAAACCTCCCAAATCCTCAGTGTTTATTGAGTCGTGTGGAGAAGCTCAGCTTTGGGGGACTTCAGGCACAGAGCTGGTGGCAGCGGAGAGACCCACTGCAGCTCCCGTTGCTTCTGCAGTTTGAGTTCATGCCTGAGGCCCTTTCCTATAAGGGGTGCTTGCTCAGAAACAGCCAGGAGATCTGATTCTGAGCTCCTCAGGACTCTTCTCCCTTCTTGATAGTGTACAGCGTGGTTTGGTTGTGTTCCCTTTTTCCCCTCTCCCGTGACCGAGGGCAGGCAAAAACCAGCTCGTCCTACAGCATTTCTGTTGTCTATTTGTAGAAACACGCCAAGGGGCAGGATCTACTTAAAAAAGTCTGTGACCACCTCAATCTCCTGGAGGAAGACTACTTCGGTTTGGCCATATGGGACACGCCGACCTCAAGGGTAAGCAGCTGCTGTGGCGTGGGGTTCCGCTCTTTCAAGGGGTCATTTCCCCTGGGGAGGAGGTGAGGCCTAAGCTCCTCTTTTTCGTGTCTTCCCCCCAGAAAATAACTAAGAGGATCATCACAGAGGCAGAAATTGTGAATAAATGATTACAGGAGTGTGGATTTTAGTAAAAAAGCTGCATGAACTTGGTTCTTCACTTGGAAAAAATTCATTATATTAGTTTACTGCTACATGAACTTGGATCTTGCGGAGAAAATTCGTTATGTTAGTTGACTGCAAAAGGATGCCATTAATTTGTAGCATTTCGTTATAACTGAAGAAGCCAGGCTGCCCTAGCTTGGTGTCGGCGTTGGTAAGGTTCGATTGGAGCCATCCAGAGCAGTTTTGAGTCAAGGCTTTGCCCTGCAAAAGAGCACGCGTGACTCTTCATACCAAAACTGTTACTCATGGTTTCAGTTTAAGATCTTTGTTTGGTTAGACTCCAGCAGTGTCTTATCTTTTAAACCCTTGGTTACACTTTAACTCAAGCAATTACTCAAGCTCTGTTTCGTGGAGCTAGCCAAAAGTGTGCTAAATTGAAATCGAGGGCCCACTTTTATGTCCTTTAGATGGTTAATGTTGGTCACACTCTGACTGTTCCCCTGCTTCACCTGCAGCAGTCCTTACTATGGCTGGCAGATGTTTGTCATTAGATACTTAATAATTACAGCTGTTAATTGTTAATACACTGGCACAAGAGCAGCCCATCGCTGTCTGAGGCAGGCAGAGCTCTGTCTTGGGTTGGTCTGTCTCTGGTGTCTTGCTATTTTCCTGTGTGTGAAATCTGCATCCAGGTGTATAGCCTGGAATTTTTACTCTAGGAGTTTGCTGTGCTCACAGAGGGGAGGGATAGAGGTGCTTTTAGATCCAATTAAGAGCAAAATGAGTTTAGCTGGAGCAGCTCAATGTCTCACACGTGTGCTGTGGGTAGCTCACTGCTGCATCTCATGGACCTCTGCGACTCGCTCTTCTCACGTCCAGGGCTGCTGGCATTGCTTCTTCCAAAAGCCGACGTGTGCACCTCCTTCCCCCCGTGCCGACGAGGGCAAAGGGGCCGTGCAGCTTTTTAACACGGGGATTGGAACCAGAGAACTTGTCAGGTTTGTGCCCAGAGCAGGGAGGATGGTGAAGCCGCTGCGCGTGGGTTTAGCTCCAGTGCGGTCTAAGTCTGGTTTGCTCTGATGGAGGAAAACACCATTTCTGGGGTTTTTTGGGAATCTTGCTGGTTATGTTTCACTGAGCTTCGAAGTCTGAAGCTCCATCTCTTGCTGTTACTTCAAACAAGATCAGACACCGAGTTATGGATTTGGTGGTAGAAATGATCTCAATAGGGAACCAACGGATGAGCTTCCGCACCTCACCCGTGACTGTGTGGAGCAGGAGGAGATGCATGTATGTATTCCGAGACAGGAAAGGGTTGTATGCAGGATTTTCCTTGATATTTAGGGAATAGACCTTCCTGAGGACGGGCATTTTCCCAGATGGGAACAGGGGATGGTGACAGTGCATTGAGCAGCTGGTCAGCCCCGACGGCCTGATGCTCACGCTGCTCTGAAAGGGAGGATTGTTTCCTGCTAATACATGACCCAGTGTTGGATGGAAGTGCCGTTAATTGCCGTGCCCGTTATTGTCCGCTGGATGAGGCAGGATGAGTGCCGAGGATGCATGACTGCACCCCGGGCTCGGCTGCCCAAAACCCAGCCCTCAGTGCTGCGGGAGCGACGCGGAGATGCTCTGTGTAAAATGCAGGCCCTGAAAAGACAGCAGGGGGCATGTCTGCCTTTCCAGTGGATTTTGCACCCCCTGTTTTGTAGGTTAGAAGGGCAAGCGTATAAAAAGATAAGATTAAATGTAAGTATCGCTGTCTCCCTGCCACGAAGTTACGTGTCCTTCTGGTCAAGACAGATTAGCTTGAGGGATTCAATGGGTTAATTCCATCACCTCGGGAGACCTGGACTTCCAAATCCTGCTCAGGGCTTGTGAAAACGAAGAAGGTGGTTTTACACGGCCTCATCGGTGCAGACCGTGACCTCTGCGGAGGGAAAGGCTCAGTCTGGACGTGCCAGGGGTTGGTCAGACCGTGCTGGCAAAAGCGGGAGTTGTTTTTTGAGGCTTAGTTGCACCACCATCCCACAAAACCCCAAATTACAGAGCGGGGGGAAAGGATATATATTTCTAAATTTGTAGTGGAGATAATTACTGGAAACTTGAGTCATACTTAAAAGAGACAAAGTTTATGTCATGCTGCTGTTAAAGATTCCAGCCTACCCTGGCGATGGGATGTTTTCACTTGTATTTCAGTGGTTAGGTCATTAAAAACCGTCGCTAATAATGAGGAGTCTTGGCAATCTTTGTTCTGACTGAGGTAAATATGGAGACACAGTGCCTAAAACGAATGCAGACATCCTATTGGCCTGTTTTTAAAGGTTCAGGAGGAAAACAGTGTGCTGCACAAGGGTCCTTTGCAGCTGGATGTGACTGCGACTGTACGTGCAGCCCTAATATGCTGCTTTTTTTTCCTCCCCCCCCGTTCCTTGTGCCTCCCCTGTGAGTACCTGGGAGGTGCAGGGTTGGAAATGCACCCACCGAGACCGCAAACTGGAGTAAAAGTTGTGAAATGCATTCTCTCTCCAGTTTCCATGGCTGCGTGGATGGCAAATGTTGTCTTTTTGCTGTATTTTTAGCCATTTACAGTTTTCTGTGGCGTTTCTGGAACGTCTGTTAAACTGTGAATGTTTTTATCCTCTTACAGACGTGGCTGGATCCTGCCAAAGAAATAAAAAAACAGGTTCATGGTAAGTAGATGGAATTTACCTTGGGGGGGATGTGTGGTTTCTCCCCGCTTCCCTAAATAAGCATGGCTTTGGTAGGCAATCTGGGGGCCCAGGAATGGGTGCGGGCTGTCTGGCAGGGACCAGCGCAGGTTCAAGCAGTCTGTGCATCCTTCCTCTTCTTCTTAAGTACTTAGTGATGCTCTAGATTTAGGAAAAAAATGCCATTTCCTTGCGAAAACCTAGCTTGGGGTGTGTTGGCCCGGCGCAAACCCACGCTAGCCTTGCTACCACGTGACGCTGCGATGGGAGATCTGCTCCCTGTTGGAGGATGGGAAGGTAGGTGTCAGTGGGAACCATATAAATCCCAAAGGAGATTGGGAAAATACCATGCTGAAGCGAGGTTTTGTGGACTCTGAGGCTGTTTTGGGGTGCAGATAGGGCTACTGGAATGATAAGTGGTTCAGGTAGTATCAGGGCAAATGCCAGATGCACTCTGAGGTTGTATTTTAAGGCCTGCTAGCACTGAATTAGTTCAAGGTGAGGGCAATGTCACATAAATTTTAGAGGCTTTTGTCCTCCCTCAGGAGCAAGTCTGACTGCTTCGGACTTAAAATGCTGTTTTCCAGAAGTAAAGCTGCCTAACGTGGGCTTTTGGTGGGGGGCGCAGAAGCCCGTGTGTCATTGAGGGGGAAATGCCACAGGGCTGTGCGGAAGGAACAGCTCCTGCTCTTACCAAGGTCTCTTGGAATCGATAGGATGCGCGTGAAGGGCAGGAGCTGCTGCTGCCGTGCAGCTGAAATTCAGCTCCGAAGTGTTAACGAGCAGCCTGCCATGGAGTCTGGTGCCCTGAGAGAGGTTAAATGGCAAATCATTTCATTTTGCTTGAATACACGTTGAATATGTCTGCACCAACGTACGTGGGTAACCTCTGCTACCTAAAACGTCACCTTGGAACAACTTCTTTTGGACGGTGTGTAAGAAAACCAACGCACCTTGTGTTTAATCCGAGTTGTGGCGTTGCATAAGAAGTAAATCCAGGGATGCTGCATCCCCACTCTTCCCTGTTGGAGGTTGCGCTAAAGCTCTGGGCACGTTAAGCGCAGGCGTATCTTCTCTTTCTGAAATAAGTATGGCTTCAGAATAGTGTTGAGGGGCACAACGGGGGGGGTGTAACTATGAAGATTACTTTGGGTGCTTAATGGGTTGGTCAGGACTATTTTCTGTGGGCAAACGAGGTAGTTTTCAAGGAAAAGAGTGGGTAACCCCTTCAGACTGTCCATACCACATACAGTGCCGATTCTGGGTGTGATTTTGGGGATTCTCTCTCCAGATAGTGCCTGTAATGGGGCTGGACAAGCTATGTTAAAGCATTTAGGTCTGGACTTGTGCAGCTCCTCCTGTCTCGGCCCTTCCTGCTTTCATCCAGCGATTGCTGCTTGTCCTGTGCTGAGTTTAAGCCGCGGTCCGACCGCAGTGCATCAGGCTGCCAAGGGAATTGGCACATCTGCTCTTTACAAGAAATCAGAAAATTGGGTCGAGTGATAAAACAATACTAGTTCATTAACTCCGGGCACGCGCCTGACCTCTCCTCATGAATCCTTCTTTTCAGTCTGTGAAGAAATCTGTAATTCAGCCTCTTAGCAGTAAATTAAATTTTTTCCGCAAGTTGTGGTTTATTCCTCTGCGTTTGCTTGCCCTGCTTTGTTTTCTCCTGCTTGTATCTTAGCTCCTGTAAATGAAATCGTATCTTACACCAGCTGCTGAGCAGCAGCTCGCTGTGCGAGCAGGCGGTATTAAAATCAGTATTATAATCGGCTGGCTCTATTTTGAAGATCGGATTGGATACTCCCAGCTTGTTTTTTAACATCCGACTATCACGAAGTTCTTCTGGTGTGTTTATTTTTCTCAACCTCTTCTTTGGAATTGCAGGAGGCCCCTGGGATTTTACCTTCAATGTCAAGTTTTATCCGCCGGATCCCGCCCAGCTGACAGAGGATATAACCAGGTGAATTACCCGGGAATCTTGCCACCAGCCGGGAAGCTCGCTCAGCAGAGTAGTGAATGTTGAAGAGAAATTTTGAACATTTGGGTGGTTTTCCATCCTTCAGCAAGGAGATCAGCTGTCTTAACAGCTTGGAGGGTGGGTTGGTTGGTTTTAGTGGATGTGGGGGATGCTCCCGCTCTCCGCTGAAGTCCACATGTGTCAGGCAGGGTTGTTTATAATCCTGGCATAGAATCATGGAATGGTTTGGGTGGGAAGGGACCTTAAAGCCCACCCAGTGCCACCCCCTGCCATGGGCAGGGACACCTTCCACTAGACCAGGTTGCTCCAAGCCTCATCCAGCCTGGCCTTGGACACTTACATGCGTGTTTGTATAGAAAAGTAAATTTTTATTTAAAACCCAGATTTTCTGATGGAGTCCTCTGCTCCCTTTGCAGAGTGGAGGTGACCTTAAGTCCTCCTGTCCTCCCCATTGTTTACCATGGGAATATTCCCCCATCAGTGGAAATACAGGTAGAAGTTAGAAACAAGCATCACGCTGCATTCATCAGTGGCATTAAAAAAAAGAGATTCTTTTTGATCCTCCAATATCTTTAGTTTTTCTGTGCTCTCCGTAAATGGTATTTTGCCTTTTTCCTCCCCAGGTATTACTTGTGTCTTCAGCTCAGACAAGACATCATTACGGGGCGGCTGCCCTGCTCCTTTGCAACTTTGGCTCTGCTGGGTTCGTACACAGTCCAGTCCGAGCTGGGAGACTACGATCCTGATCTGCACAGCCCGGATTATATCACTGAATTTAAATTGGCCCCGAACCAGACAAAAGAGCTGGAAGAGAAAGTTGTGGAGCTTCATAAAACGTACAGGTAAGGTGCGACGGCTGGAGGACTTGTTTGTGCACAGCAGCCTGAAATAATGAGGCTTTCTGGTGTTTTCCCCACCGCTGTTGCACGCTTTTGGTTTCCTGCTGCGCTGATTTTGATGCTGGCTACAGGAGCTTTAGCAGCAAGGTGTGAGTTTTCAGGTACTGAGGACGTTGGCTATTTAAACAAAAATCTAATACTTTCTAGCAAAACCTTTCTAGAAGCTGGAATCCTTTTTTCCCCCGTGAAGGGGAAACTGTTTTTAGCAAGCAGATGCAGAGTCTTGCAATTGTTTATTAACAGATGCTCTTTTCAACAGTTCAGCTGTGAAGCTGGCTTTTATTTCATGTGAAAATGCAAAGTTTGCTTGTTTTAACCTTGCCCTTTGCCCTTCTAATTTTGATTTGCTTTGGGATTTAGGTAATTTTTTTGGTTGCAGTCTGGTTGGAGCAGATCCTGCATCTTTGCCTACACGCTGTAGCCTACAGCCTGTTTGAGTTTTTCTGATGCCACCTTTAATGAGTAACATTTTACAGCCTGAAGTATGGCAGATAATGCAGGAGGTACAGACCCGTTGTCCACGTGTTTTCTGGCGCAGCCATGACCTGAGCAGATGTGTCTAGTTCAGGCTGGGTTGAAGGACCCCTGGGAGTCCCTCTGGTACCAGATTGAAGGGTCACAGCAACTGAACCTCTTCCTCATCTTATTTGGAGCTTATTTTCATCGGTGCTCTCTAGAGCGTGGATTGCAGAAGCTGTGCAGGGCTGTGTGAGAGCGGCCAGCCGGCAGCTTCTCCACCCTCCCAGAGACACGTTTGGGTTTTGAGGGGAAATAAAAGCCCATAAAAGCACTCTGTGATACTGAGGCCTTCAGCCAGCAGCCCCTTGACCTGTGAAAAGCTGCTGGCTGATGCACTAAGGACGAGAACAGGGCGAAGATGATGCCTTCTTGCAGGGCAGACAGGAGCTAATAACCTGAGTGCAGGGGGGAAGGGTGGGCGTGTGCCCCCGGCTGCGACCAAAGCTGCGATTAACACCTTGCTCAACCCCGCAGATCGATACTTTAAATTGATTCCCCTCCATTTGCACTGAGAGGAGAGGAAATGAGGGAAAATGAGCACAAGGCCGCTGACAAGCTTCATGACTTGAAGTCAAAGGCCGTTAGCTGTGCTCCTCACGTTGCTGAATTATTCATGGCTTCATTAGAAGGATGGTTCAGGGTATTGGATGTAGTTATATTTAATCTACTCCTGTGTGCAGGAGGGAGGAAGCAATATGCACCCAATTAATTTCTGGTCTGTATTCTGTGAACATTAAACTGTCAGAGGGTGTTCAGTGGGAAAACTCTGCTAAACCATGCTCCGGCTACTTTATTTGCAAAGCACAAGGCACACATTGGAGATGGTGACTGCTCCTGGGTCTTTCCCGTAGGATTGTCCTTACAGTCCTCTTTGTCTGCCCTGTCTCCCACCACTAACGCCTCTACACCGAGGTGTAGCGAGCGCTCAGGAAGAAAGACATCAGGGCAGGGAACAAAAGGAGATGTGTGCAGCCGGATGCTCTCCCAGCAGAGCTGTTGGATGGACCTCGTGCACCAGAAACTTATTAACAAGGGCACTTCACTCGCACTGATAAAAGCCTCCATCACCAGGAGGGTTCTGTTAAGCAAAGTTGGTTGTGTTGCCCCTCCTGCAGACAGGGTACCATCTGTTCCCAGAAAACGTCTCATTCATCTGGTCTGTCCCGGCAGGAATCGCTGCTGTGTGGTCTCAGCTGTCCCTGCGTTTGGTTTGGAGGACAATAGCTGGGGCTGGGGGGTCCAGAGGCAGGAGGGAGGGCAGTACCTGTCACCCTCTGCCTTTGACTGATCGTTGTTTATTCCACTGGGTCAAGTCCTGTAGCCAGTACTCCACATCCTCGCCTTGTTCCCCAGTGACCGGAGAGCTCCGCAGAAATAGCGTACATCCCTCTTATGGGAATGGCTCAGAGCACAGATTTCTGCATTCAGAGCAATTTAATAATTCGTCATCTGGACACAACTTTGTATTGAAAGCAAACAAAAATCTTAGGAGTAAATGGTTTTGTGAAGCCTGATCTGTCCTCTCCTAAAAGCAAGAGTTATGGGAATACCGAGCCCTTTCTCTCTTTCCTCAGGTCCATGACTCCAGCCCAGGCAGACCTGGAATTTCTTGAGAATGCAAAAAAGCTGTCGATGTATGGGGTCGACCTTCACCAAGCCAAGGTGAGAACCGGCACGTGTGCACCTGCCTGTGGATTTTGTGATTTGATCGCCCTTCCCTTGCAGGAGCTTTTAAGGAGGCTCCTTCTGAAAGCTGTAGGAAGTGAGCCAGCTGCTGGTACAGAACCAGACACATACAGAAATGCCTCAAGCATTCTTGCAGGAAAAAAGACTCTTCCCAATTGATTGTTGTTTATATATTACAGACAATTATTTATGTATTACAGGCAGCTTTACAAAGCTACTGATGTAGACAGATCCTTGCCCTGAGGAATTTAGACTATATAAAGCTCTGACCCTGCAAGGTGAGCCACTGTCCTCAGGGACACACAGGATAGAGTCTAGAGCAGCTTTTTGAGCAACCAGCGTCACAGGAAAGATCTGCAGGAGGGAGCGGGGTGTAAGGAGAAGCCTGAAGGAAAGACAAGTCTGGCCCTGGCTGCACAGGAAGCTGGAAGCTGAAGTCTGGGCAATGGGGAAATGAACTCACGGGAGCCTTGAGGGGAAGGCAAAAGGGGTAATTTGGAATGCGGACATGGACCTGAACCTTGTAACCCTGAAGCTGCTTAAATCCTCCTCTGCTTTCCCAGGACTTGGAAGGAGTGGATATCACCCTGGGAGTCTGTTCCAGTGGCCTTCTTGTTTACAAAGACAAACTGAGAATCAACCGCTTCCCTTGGCCCAAGGTGCTGAAGATTTCCTACAAACGCAGCAGCTTCTTCATTAAGATCCGGCCGGGGGAGGTACGTTCTGACTTCTCTGTGCTCGTGTCGTCTTTAATTGCCTCCTGATAATCACCAGCGTGTATGCGTCACTGAGCAGTGGGGGGCTAGGGGGAAGCTTCTCTCTGAATGGGCATTTCAGGCTGGTGGGTTTCTGATCTTGGCTGGGTGGAAGCTCAGGTGGAGCCGGTGACTTGCTGAAGCTGTAAAACAGCGGGTGACAGTTTAAACAACGTGTCATCCAGCACCACCTCCTGGCACTGCGTGGTATTCCCAGCATCCAGAGGAAAGCGGTGGGAAGTTCACAGTTGAAACTGGAAGAGGAGTAACTTCTTGCTGGATACGGGGCTCTTTATCTCACTTAAATATTAAAAGCCCATACAGACACGTAGCTTTTCCCCGCAGAGCGGGCAGGGAGTGGCTGCCTCTGGTGAACGGGGAGATCCGTGGAGCAGCCTGGCTGCTGGAAACACAGTGGGGAGAGGGGCTACAGGGGGAGCCTGCCTCTCTCCTCCTCTCCTTCTTCCTCCTACTTCAACTGCCATGACCCAGCCTGGCCGGGAAGTCCATTCTCAACTCCATCCGGCAGCTGGGCAGTGTCATGTGGGGGTAATTGAGCCTGAAGGGCTGCAAAACTCATGATGCTCCTCTGTAAATCCCGGTGCATCCTGAGTGGGGGGGTTGTGGACCAACCCCTGTCTTCCCATGGACCTGAGCTCCCCCTGCACATCATGGGGAGGGTTCAGCTGCTCTTGGCTGCCCCAGCAGTTTGTGCCGCAGGTCGATGGGCTGCGACTGGGCTCCTGCCACGTTTGCTTCTTGCTATACCTAAACAACTTCTATTTCCTGCAGCAAGAACAGTATGAAAGTACAATTGGGTTCAAGCTACCAAGTTACCGGGCAGCGAAGAAGCTGTGGAAAGTGTGTGTTGAACATCACACGTTTTTCAGGTGGGTTTTCTGATGGTGAGCTCACTGATGCTTTGGGGGAGCTGCTGACACCGAGCGCTCCGCCGGTGTTCCTTGGGGTTTCACAGAATTGCAGTGAAATGTTTGCAGAGACATCAAGTGTTTATACTGATGTATAAACTGTATTCATACTGTTTATGAATTTCTAAGCTTCATAAGATACATAAGACAAAGGTTTTCTGGCTTACAGAGATCATTGTTACATGTAGCTTATTGTTACTGCGAGCTGTTTTGTTAATCAAGTGGATGCAAGAGACTTCTTTAATTTGTATTTTAATTGCTCTTTACCTGCCGCTTCCTAGACCTGGAGGAGGTACGATTTCTAAATGGTGTGTGTGGTTTTCAGGCTGACTTCCACCGAGGCCATCCCGAAGAGCAGGTTCCTGGCACTGGGCTCCAAATTCCGCTACAGCGGCCGGACGCAGGCGCAGACGAGGCAGGCGAGTGCCTTGATCGACCGACCCGCTCCCCAGTTCGAGCGGACGGCAAGTAAGCGAGCGTCCAGAAGCCTCGACGGAGGTGAGTGTCAGGTGCCTCTTCCCTCGCCGTGGCTGGATTCAGTAGGGTGCTGAAATACTCTTTATATACCACCGGAACTCCCTGCTTTAAAAATATAACTTCTCACTTTACTACAAGACCTGGATATAGAATGCAAACTGGTAGTAGTGCTGGCAAGAACCGACTGACTAAAGGGGTGTAGGTGGGTGCTGAAGGCTTATGGCAAAGTTCTGGTGGTAAAGATATTTCTTCATTCAATCTCAGTGCATTTTCCTTTTAGCAAATCGGGAATTAAACTGTTCTAGGAGTTATGTTTAATGTAGCTTCTTAAATTACATAGTTTGCCTTGAGGGGGAGATTTTTTACCACAACTCCGTGAACTAATGTTGAAGTTTGTGGCATATCAATCAGGTGGGCTTGTCCCTGACACTTTTAAAAGAGATGGATAGCATCAGGTGAGAGGAGGAGAGGCATGGAGTTTGCTCCTCTTAGTCTGAGTCATGGGGTGCTTGTAAAATTAGGATCCAGGGGAAGGGGAGCATCCCTTTGCACCGGGAGGATCCGGAGGAAGGGGAGCATCCCTTTGCACCGGGAGGATCCGGGGTAAGGGGAGCATCCCTTTGCACCGGGAGGATCCGGGGGAAGGGGAGCATCCCTTTGCACCCAGGACACCTGATGGAGCAGGAACAGCATTGCTCTGAGCTCTGAAGTTGTGCTGCAGTCGGGGAGGGAATGGCCTGCCCCAGCACCCTGTGTCTGGCAGCAGCCAGGCTGCCCCTGCTCCTGGCATGGCTTTCCAGGGATCAGCGACACCCTGAGCCTGGGGGCTTCATGCCTCGGAGGTGGGAGGAAGAGGGCTGCTTGGTTTGAGCTCTGTACCACAGCCCTGATGCGGCGAGTGAAGCAAACTGCCTGCTTGCTGCAGTGTGGGTGTGCGTGTTACCAGGCACGGTGCATGGAGGCGAGGGGACCAGCGCTGTTGGTTGCCCCTTGGCCATGCCCTGTAGACCGTTATGACCCCGGATGAGTAGACAAATCCCCACTGCAATCCCACACCCGAATGTCAGAGCTTGGAAAAGAGCAGCCTGCGAACGTAACGCTTGTGTCCCCCTTCAAGTCTGCAGCCTTTTTCCGTCTGCTGTGTGGGCAGTCGTTAACATGTGCCCCGTTTCCTCAGCTAAACGTGCAGCTCAAAAAGTTGAGTTCAGAGCCGTAGAGGAAGAGAAGCAGGAGGAGGTGGTTGTGGTTCCCGAACCAAAACCCGTGGATCAGATCCGAGAGAAGCCAGGTATAGCTGTGGTGGTGGCTACAACTCTCTGCAGCACCTTTCCTATCCTTCACATGCTTGTTCCTGACAACTCCAAGTTTCACCAAACCTGGCGGCTTTCTACTTTTCGTTTCTTTGCAAGAAGAGTTTGGCAGTCAGGGGATGGCCTGGCACAGCCCCGGCTCTGGGAGACTCCTAAAATTTCTGCCTTGCACCTCGTTGGACTGTAACTCTTGCGGGGAGGTGGGGAAAAGTTTAGGATGTACTGGCACTTGAGAGCTGTCTCCTTATTAAATTTGGGGTTTTTTGTAAAGGTAGATTAGAAAATTTTAACGTTTGATGTTGAAACTTCTTGTAAAGCTTCTGAAATTCTTCATCCTGGGACCTGCTTGCCATTTTTTAAGCCTATTCTGGGGGTTTTTCAGGGTTTCAGAGATGCCACCCATTTTGCTACATGGACCTTATGTTTCTCTTACGATAGGTACTATTAATAAACATTAGTAAATATTAATGCCTGTAAGAGGTGTGTAGGTACAACAGCATATTTGAGTGCTAATAAGCGTGTGGCAGCAGCAGTGTTGTCAAATATTTGCAGTCTTCATCACTTAAATAGCGAATGCCTGTGGTGCATCAGGGCTGGAGGTAATTTGTATGCAAATGCATTGCCTACGGCTCCGCTTCCCTTCCTCCAGCCTGAGTTTAGCACAGCCCGAGTTTAGTGCAGCCTGCTTTTGACATCGCTGTTCTTCAGGTATGAAACCTAGATCAAGCTTTCGTAAATCAGCGTGGCACGCTGCCTCCCCACCTCTGCCTTGCCTTGAATTCTCACTAGCCAGCATCTCCTGGCAGGGAAGGCCTGATGCTGTAAAAGTGGAGAACGTAAGGCACCAGGGTAGACGGCTGCTTGTCCTTAAAATTAAGATTTGAAGTTGATCACTCAGGTACATTTAATTCGAGCTGTTGAGTTTTATGTAGGTTTTCATCTAGAGGAACCTGGGTGTGTTTTTCCTGGATTGTAGCAGCCAGCACCTGCATCTCCCCAGACTTTGAGCCCATCCTAGTAGCACTCTCGAGATCCGTTCGCGTGTCCCCACGCATCCCTGCAAAGCTTCTGTTCTTTTCCCCTCTTCTCCGATACACGGATGGGCCTGGCAGCACTAGACAGACTGATATGCTGTTGTGTGGTGGAAAATTACTTGTAAGCTGCCTGGTTTACAAACTTTCTTGCTGTTCTCAGCCGCTGCCCTGGAGAGGGATCTCTTCTCGCTCTTTCCTCGGCTGCGGTGACTGTCGTGTGTCTGTGTGGTTCTCCAACCGCTCGATTAACCCATGCAAACCTCTTTCTAGCCAAACACGCTCTTGAAACTTTTGAAATGAAACCCATTGCAGAGGAGGAAGAGGAGGAGGAGAAGGTAGAGGTGGCTAAGGTTCCCGTTGCTGAGCCAAAGTTACCGGAGCCGTTGCAGAAGCGGTCAGGTACAGCCGCAGCGGCGTTTGGCATCAGTGTGGCTCCTGCGGCCGCCCTGCTGGGTTGAAGTGATGTGGTGCCGTAGGACGGAGGTCGCATCGTTTGCGGTGGTGTTCGTTGCCGTTAAAATCGCACCCGGCTTTGCAAGTGTACCGTAACGCGCGGGCTGTGCCTCTGGGTGAGAGGCGGAGGTGCCGTGCCGTGGCTTGGCTGCCTGCCTGTGTGCTGAAATGAGCCCTCTTTACGCTCCTCTCTTGCTGTGCCTTCCCGTAAGGTTCGTTCCCCTGAGCTGTAGGAACGTGCGGTGCCTGAAAATCCCGTTGTGTGCCCCGGGACTGCTGGAGGCCACCTCTGCGGCTTCATTTCTTCACTAGAGAGCCTGCTGCTTCCCTAGCTGGAGACGGGATTCTGAGCAACTTCCCTGCTGCAGGCAGATCCACCCTGATCACAGCTAAGAGCAGAGTTGGTTAGTCATGGCAGGAAGAGGAGGTTGAAGCTGTGGAGGGAGGTAACTGGGAGCTTCACCTTGTTTTCTCGATTATTATGACACTAAGCCAGCCCCTGCGTGTAGACTCGAGGGTATTCCATGGGAGGGACAGCAGCAGTGGACCCGAGCTCATTCAGGGTCTCCTGCTGCAGCTGCCCCTTCACATTCACCTCCTGCACTTTTTCCTCCTCTAGACACTTGTTCCCTGTAGGGACTGTTTTGGTGGCCAGGGTGATGGGGGTTGATACTCA